AGAGCTCCGCTGAGGCACGAGGGAGAAGACAAGGGTGCCAGGCACGCCTTTTGTGTGAGAGAGCTTCCTGCCCAGAGACTCAAGGGCAGGGCCTTGGGTTGCACAGATGCTGCGGCCCATTCACGAGGACAGTGGGAGTTGTGCGGTGTAGTATCCCCAGACTCAGGCAGGACATCGGGCTCCAGGCCTGACTCTCTCCCTGCACACACACTCTCCTCTGGGACTATGTTTGTTCATCTGTAAAATGGCAGGTTGGACTGGAGAATCCTCCATCCAAATCTGTGATCCTGTTCTCTCTAGTTTTTACCTGTACTTATCTGACTTTAAAATATCCAGTCTTGGGGCTCAGTCGGTTGGGCCTCCTACTTCAGCTCAGGTCGTTAACTCACGGTTTGTGGGTTGGAACCCTGCGTCAGGCCCTGTGGTGACAGCTCAGAGCCTGGAGCCTGCTTCGGATTCTGTGTCTCCCTCTCTCTCTATTCCTCCCCTGCTTTCACTCTCTCTCTCTGTCTCTTTCTCGAAAATAAACATTTAAAAAAATTAAAAAAAAATCCAATCTAGATGTGAGAGGTGCAAATTATAACTAAGATTTTTCTGAAACTTCGATGCACAATCAAAGGATTTTCTGGGCTTTGGTCCCTCTGGGGCAGAAGAGATTGATTGTCTGGTCTGTGATAGGTTGGGCTTGTGTGGAAATACTGGCAGGTCTGGTCATCCTTGGATTAGAACCCTTGGAGGGTTCTTGTTGGTGGAGTGTCCCAGGCTGCTGGGTTCTCCTCCTCCCAGTGGTCCCTGATTGATTCTGGAGCCCTGAATATTCCCTCCAGTTTCTGGGCTGGTGAACCGTGGCCTGAGGTTTTTGGGATGGGGAGAGGAGTTCCTGGTTCTTGGGGTAGCTGCGGCCTGATCTGTGACTGGATTGGTTTCCAACAATCAGACCAGACAGAACCTGATCCCCCAGGGGACAGCCAGGCCATTTGGTGGAGGCCCGCTGCTCTGGCCCAGCAAACCAGATGTGAAGGCGGGGTCAGGAGCCACCAGTGTTTGAAGGGGCCTGTTGGCCAGGGGCTCAGGAGTTGCAGGTTGAAGCTGGGTTCCCCTTGGCAGTGTGGTGTCCTTGGACTCCACAGGCAATTCTAGCCCACCCACTGTGGCTGTGACTTTGTCTCCACAAGGCAAATCCCTGCACACACAGAGGCCTCTGAGTGTTCTCTTAGCTGGAAGGCAAGGGCTCAGGAAGCGTCACTGAGCAAGAGTCTGATGGAGAGAGGAGGGCGTGGAGGAAGAGGTAACATTTGTAATTCTTTGCAGAAGCCAGTGCAGCTCTGTGAGCCCACCGAGTCCTCCCACCCGCCCTGTGCTGTCATAGCTGGGAGACCGAGGAGTTGACTTGCCCAGGGTTAGACAGCCATTTAAGTGGCAGAGCTGGGATTTGGGCCCCGGTCAGTCTGACTTGGAGGGCTGCTTCTCCAAATAGCAGCTCTTCTATCGCATCCCTCTGGGCAGGACCAGTGCTGGTGCCGTGGGTGATGCACATGGGAGGAAGGTGTGGTTCCTGCTGTCCTGGATTCTGGGAGGACACAGACATAAGTGCTAGTCCAGCCCTGCCACCAGCCACTTGTGTGCCTTTGCTGAGCCACTTTGCCTCTCTAGGCTTCAGGCTCCCCACCTGCAAAATGAGGGGGCTGATCTGGTGAGCTCTTACGGCTTGCATTCAGAGGAGTCCAGGCTTACAGGCATCCCCCTGTGGGTTTCTGTGGTTCTGGGAGGCTGAGGGCAGAGGGGTTCTACCCTAGCCTACCTCTCTCTTCTACCTCCACAGTCCATCCTGATTGCTGCATAGGTGAAGCTTTGGAGCAGGATCCTGTTTGGTAAAGGATTCCGTGATTAAACTAATTTGAAATGTCTTGGCTAGATGGGCCGTTAGGGCCTGGCTCCAGCCCTTTTGTCCTGCATGTGTGGTTGGCTCAGCGAAATGCTGTGAGGGAAGAACTGACAAAGGACAGCAGGAGATCTGGGAGGAGGCCTGCCTGACTTTCCCCTCCCTCCATCCCATCCCCCACACCCCCACTCCCTCATCAGCTGGTAGGTCACTACCCAGCATGTGCTGAACTCTAGGCCAGGTCATGCTGTGGGCCACCCAGAGGTAGGGGAAACACAGCTCCTTGGGGATGGTCAAAGCAACGCTAGATGTGCCTCACAGCGCTAGGCAGGACCAGGGAGATGAGGAGAGTTTGGGAGCCCCAGGCTGCCACCCCTCTGCTCTCTGACTTGGCCCTGCCCTAAAGCCTGGCCTTGCCCAGGGGGGCGATGTCTGCAGGGACAAGGCTGTGGCCAGAGCTTTGCTGTGTCTGCAATAGATCAGATTTCAGTTTCCGTCCAAGTGGGATCACGCCTCTGAGGGGCCGGTGTCAGGTGGGGAAGGAGTTGATGTGCCCAAACAGGGAGTCCCTTCTTTAGGTGGATGGTAGTGTGTTGCCAGAGATTCACTTTTACATCTGCCCAGAGTCCACTTCCTAAGAAGAGAGTTACTGGGAGTTACTAAAATCTGATAGTCGTAGAACGGAATGAGCAGTCTTGGGAGTTCCTGCGGAGTCCGGGCGTCTCTGCTGAGCAGTCTGGCTGCCGCACAGCACTTGGCAGTGTCGCGGAACCCCTGCCGGCCAGATCCTTCGGCACATCCTGCAATTTTTGGAAGGATGCTTTGTTTTCCAGCACCGTTAGTGCTGTCTTGAGTTTGTCATGGCTCCTTATTGCTGCCTTTTTGAAATTCGTTTGTTTTTTTTTTGTTTTTTTTTAATCATAGAAATTACTGCTGTTTTGTGCTTTGTTGTTGGTTTTGTTCTTGTGTAATTAGTGCATTTTGGCTACTTTGGTTATTTTGTTTCTTTCACAGAGTTCTTTTTCCTCTGGGATAATGAGAAAGGGAGTGCGGTGGGTCATAAGCACTTGGCCCCACCCAGGAAGGCTGGGTCAGAAAAGCTGTGTTCTTCTGAGTTCTGTCTCAGGAGGTCCTGTCTGGTGCTTGCCCTAGACATGCGGGTTATTTCTCTGTGTTGAAGCCTCTCGTCACCCTCCCCTTCCTGGAGCCTAAGGGTCACCCTTTTGTTCCTGAGCTACCTTTAAAATATGTTTACTTCTTTTTCTAGTTTAAAAGAAACTAGATTCTTTTATTCATATTCTTTTATTCTTTTATTCATAAAAGAATACCCGAAAACTACATTAAAATAGAAAAAGTTACCCATTTACTACATAAACAGACTATCTTCTAATATTTTCCCAACATGTAGCTTTTTATATATTTTTTTAATGTTTATTTATTTTTGAGAGAGAAAGAGACAGAACATGAGCGGGGTAGGGGCAGAGAGAGAGAGGGAGACACAGACTCCAAAACAGGCTCCAGCCTCCAAGCTGTCAGCACAGAGCCCGACCTGGGGCTCGAACTCATGAACTGTGAGATCCAGACCTGAGCTGAAGTTGGATGCTCAACTGACTGAGCCACGTAAGTGCTCCAGCACATAGCTTTTTAAAAACTTAGGCAAAGTGGGAGTTATGCATATATTTCAAACATTCTCAGTCTTTTTGTACATATCAAAATGAGCAATTGAACATTTAAACTCAAAAAATGTAAGAAATGGTACAAGTGTAGCTGTATTGTGACATTTTCAATTACGTCACTCATCACTATTATCTGTGTAATCATAGTCTTTGAAAAAATTTTTGAATGGCTCCATTGAGTAGGTGAAACTTAGTTTACTTTATCATTTCCCTGTTCTCAGCTATCTGACACTTTCTATTTTTTTCTACAATCACAAATTACACGGTGATTAATATACACATACATAAAGATTATTTTCTCTAATTAGGATTATTTCCTTATGATCACTCCCCATGGGTGGAGTTACTGGGCCAAAGGTGATCCTTACAAAGCCAGCCTGTGTCAACTACCCCCTGCCCCGTGTCATCAGCCTGTACATATGAGGGTCTGCATGGTTTTCTATGCCCATTGATGTCTGCCCTCTCAGAGGGACCTCGGGTAGCTGCATACCAACAGGACAGGAAGCAAGGAACTGAGGTCAGGGCACTGCTCTGAGTTGTAGGGTAAGTTGGGCCTCTTAGCCTGGGTTCTGGTGACCGCCCCATGCTTATTCTCATGGCCAGACCTGAATGTCCAGCCTCTTGCACCCCTGCAGCCCCATAAAGCTTACGAAACCTGGTTTCCTCACTGCAGCCTTGTGCAGAGGCCCTGGCTGGGTGGGGTGCATTTAACCCCATGTGTTTTTGCTCTGATTGTCCGCCTTTGGAGCAGTACCCCCCAGACCGTGTCTGCAGAGCGAGGACTGAGGCGCCCTGCTAGCAGAACGTGCTGGCTATGATTTAGGTCAGAGCTGGCCTCCCTTTCCGTTGCCTGTTGGAGGGGTCACGTGTGGCTGGCTGGCCGGTCCTGCCACTGACCTGCAGCCTCCCTCCGCTCCTCAATCACACCCACAGGGCTTTTATCTGTTGGTAGGTTTGTCACCATTGGAAACATATTTATGCAATGGAAAAGAAAACAGTTTTTACCCAGCTGGAGCTACAGGGAGTGAAGAATAGGTCCTCGGGGACTGCCGGCTTCCCTCCCCTGTGTCACATGGCTCCGAGGAGCTGCTGGCTCCAGCTAAGCAACATGGGCCATAAAAACAGGCGTCACTGAGGCTGAGCCACGATGCCTGGTCCGTGGTTGTGGTGTTCTCCCTGGGCAGGGAGGGCGGGTGCCCAGACAATCAGCAGTGTGTAAGGCTGGCCAGAGGCCCCAGGAGTCTCTCTTGGAAGGCTCTCCTGTCCTGTGCTTAATCCTTTGCCAGTAGATATTCTTTGCCAAGGGTCTAGTGTGTGCGTGATGCGGTGCTGGCCACTCTGGGTGTCTTGGATATGTTTGCCAGGTTGCCGCTTCATGGGTTCATGGCAGTGGGGTGGGTGGCATGGTCCGGCAGTTAGGGTGGGATGTGAAGAAAACCACAAGGGAGAGCCACACAGTGCTGAGGGTTTCAGAAAAGGATGAGTCTCAGGCATTTGGCATGAAAGAGGAGAGCTTCGTGGAGGAGGTGATCCTTGAGTTGGACTTTGAAGGGTGGGTAAAGGTTCGTTGTTTGAAATGGGTAGCGAGCAGCTGAGGCAACTGGGAAGTTACGGCGTGTGTTTGGGAAATAGCGCCCTGCCTGTTGTGATGAACATATCAGAGCACATGCTGGAAAGTAGTGGGAGAGAAGATGGGCGAAGAAATGTTGGCATGTGTCATGGAGGTTTGGATGCCAGGCTGAGGGGCTGGCCCTTGTCCATAGGAGACAGGGTCTTTGTGGGCATTTTTGACTTGGAGGTACCTGACCAGACTTGTGCTTTAGGAAGGCTGATGTGTCTGAGATGGGGAGTGGATCACTGGGCATTATGGATGGGCCGTGAGACACCCGCAGGTGGACTCCCTGGCCTCAAGCAGCAGGTCATCTAGAGCTTGCCTTTGTATATGTGAGTGTGCACCATGCCTACGTGTATCGAGCATGTACACATATGGAAGGCAAGACCTGGCAGGCATCCCCCGCCTGTGCATAGCCCCTCCCCCCTTTCCACGAGAGTCCCAGGGCTACAGAGGTTATTATGGTGGCATTACGCTGGCTACTATGGGAAGTTATGACCTAACTTGCAGCTTTTAGCAGCTCTGTGGGGCCAGAACAAGAGGATGTAGAATTATGAGAGTAGGCAGAGCAAATAGCCTTCCATTTGGAGCTCCAATTAGGGGTCGTAAACTCCTGCCAAATCATGCAGTTATTCCTGTCATGGAACCACTTGCCTGCCAGTCCTTTTCACTTTAGTGTGAATTAGCCCCATCTGATTGCTTTCCTCTGCGCACTGAATTGAGATAGATGCTCCAAGGGAATGAGATGAATAATATATTTGTTGAATATATAAATGAGGTTGACAGAAAGGTGCAAGGGAAGAAGAAAAGGTATTTTGGAGCCTTGTATGCTCCTCAGCCTTTTGGAGGTAGGCTCAGGCTTATGTTCACAAACCCCTGAGTCCAGGCAGAAAGAAGTGGGGAGGAGGGAGACCAACTGTCTCATTCAGACCTTGGTGAGATCTCAGCCCTGGAAAGGTCACAAAACTCTGTTTTTCTCCTAGGCCTCATGTTCTTTCCCCTAGGGGCCCTGGAGCCCAGGCCTGAGCAATAGCGCTCTGCTTTAGCCATGCTGTGCCTCTACTTGGACTCTGTAGACTAGCCTGGGCCCTTGGCCCTTTTTAACCCTGGTTTCTGTTCGAGTAGGGAGTATAAAAAATTCCAGTTGATTGATTTTCTGACGAGCTTTGGACAAAACCAGCTCCATATGACATAGATGGTTTACACATCTTGGGTCCTAGTGGAGCCTGGGGCCACTGCTCCCTTGGGTCTTTGCCCCCTTTCTGCTGGTTTGCCTCCTAGCAGGTTGAGGCATGGAGAACTCTCCTGACTTGGCCTGTGGTGCAGATTGGCATCTTTGGGGTCAGGGTTCCTACAGGCGTTGGCTGTAGTGTCTAGACTTCAGCAGCACTGGTGTCTGGACTTCTCTATGTGCCTGGGAGGAGTCAGGTGGGGTCATCCTTGGGGCATGAGGACCTGCGCTCTGACCGGCTCTGTTTAGGGCACACTGAGGAGGGGGCATCTGAGGTGAGGAAGAGGGTGTCTCTGCCTGTCTGTGCACAAAACACCCCTCAGTTGCAATGCCCCCATCTTTATAAAGGGTGTTCATGTCCACCTGAAGGGAATTGAGGCACAGAGAGAGGGAGAGACTTTCCAGGGTCACAGTGGCTACCCGAGCAAGGGCAGGACAGGCTCCCTGACTCCCAGCCAGTGCTGTCTACAGTCCACGGTTCCCACCCCCATGTGCACCGAGGGCATCCCTGCACTTCCCTGGCTCAGGCTAGATGCTGGCCCATCTGTGTTCATGTTTCCAGGCTTCCCATTCAGGCCTGGCCTCTGAGGCATTTGTGGAAGCTTCTCTCTGTTGGCCTGTGGGTCCATCAACCAAAAACCGAGGGCCGGATCTGCCCCTAGCCCTGTGCTGGCACTTTGGGGGGACCTAGCCCTGTGCCTGGGGCTTTGGGGTGAGTAGAGAATACTCAGTTTTGCCTCAAGTGAGGCTAAGCTCGATCAAAGCAAGAAGCCAGATGTAAGCCACACAGTTCAGGAGAAATAGCAGAGCTTTTGCCCTCATTGTGAGGAGGGGCTAGTGGGCAGAGTGGAGGCATCAGAGCTCAGCTGCCCCACCTCGTACCCCTCTCCCGCCTGGCTTACCTCATCTGTGAAGTGTGGATGCCCTATCAGTGCCCCTAAGGCAGTGATTCCCAGGCTAGGCCATCTAGAAACACCTCCAGCTGTCCTGGTCGCCAACGACTATCTCCCCCACTTGCCGGCAGGAGAAACCCGGTGCCTAGTTAGGTGGAGAGGACTGTGCGGGGTGGGGTGCACCATGCCTACGTGTACCGAGCATATACACATATGGAAGGCAAGACCTGGCAGGCATCCCCCACCTGTGCGTAGCCCCTCCCCCCTTTCCACGAGAGTCCCAGGGCTACAGAGGTTATTACGGTGGCATTACGCTGGCTACTGTGGGAAGTTATGACCTAACCCCAGAGGTGGTCCGGCCAGTTGTCATCTCAGAGCTAGAGCGGGACATCACATTGTCCCGTTGCTATGTGACACACATACCACAGGGGTTATGTCTGCCCCTGGATAATGAATGACACTGGGTTGCAGGGAGCAGGGATTGTTGAACGGTCGAGCAGATCCGTTACCTGTCTAGCCCCCCAACAGTTCCGTGCGTGAGCAGGAGTCAAATGTGTGAGTTTTGCAAATGGACAACATGAAGCCCAGAGAGGGGAGGTCATTAGAGCAAAGTCACCTAGTGACTAAGAGATTAGGATGTAGGCTGTCCAACTCCACTTCTCTCCTGGCCTCAGTTTCCCCAGCTAATAATGCAGGTATTGGACTCCATCATCTCCTCTGTCCTCCCGAGCCAGGTATCCTGCGTATTGCTGGGGCACATGCTCCTCTGAATACATAACAGGAGCACGCTGGCCCTGTAGGTTGTGTGTGTTTTCTGAAGTTCCAGAGTTTTCAGTTTTGTGTCCACCCTTCTAGATATCTTCATGCGTGTGCTCACATGTGTGTGCTTTTGTGCATATCTTCACCCTGACTTCATAGAGGCCCCTTTGGCCCTTGGCACTTTGGGCCTTTGTATATCCTTTACATCTGTATCACTGTTTTTATCCAAGTGCTGGATTGTTTTCAAAAGTTTTAGATTTATAGAAAAATTATGAAGATAGAATAGAGAGTTGGTATATATTCCATACCCGGTTTCCCCTATTATTAACATAATATCTTAATATGGGACATTGATTGTAGTTAATAAACCAATATCGATATGTTGTTATTAACTAAAGCCCACACTTTATTCAGTTTTCCTTAGATTTAACCTAATGTCCTTTCCTGTTCCGGGATCCCATCCAGGATACCATATCACATTCAGTCGTCACGTCTCCTTAGACTTCCCTTGGAGGTGGAATTTTCTCCCAACTTGCCTCATTGTTTTTGATGACCTTAACAGTTTTGAGGAGTACTGGTCAGATATTTTATAAGCGTCCCTCAGTTGGGATTTCTCTGATGTTTTTCTCATCATTAGACTGGAGTTACGGGTTTGGGGGAAGAACAACATAGCGGTAAAGTGGCATTTTTCACCCCATTGTATTAGTGACACATCGCAGCATATCACGGGTACGTGGTTGATTATTGTTGATGTTGGCCTTGATCTCCTGGCTGAGCTAGGGTTGGTTAGATTTCTCCACTGTAAAGTTCCTCTCATTTCCCCCTGCCCATGCTTACAGACTATGAATGGCCACTTTTCAAAGCGTGTGTGTCCATTGCCCAGACCCCATCCTGCACATCCTGCTGGTGACGTCGGCCTCCTCACGATGCCGGCTGTGGTCTGTGGGAGCCCAGAGATTCTGAAAGACTGCTTCACCATTCCCGAGGGTAGGCCCCATTCCACTGTGTTGTCAAGAGATGACTGTGCGAGAACTTTCTTGACTTCCAGTGTCACTGTTTGCAGGGAACGCTGTGCCAGGCAGGTCTGAAACAGGCTGAAGGGGAGTTGGCACATCACAGAGAAAAGGAGTGCGGGCTGAGGGTCAGAGCGAGGTGGGTGCAAACTGCTGCTCTGTGACCCACCAGATTCGCTACTGCTTAAAAGAAGCCATATGGTATAGTGGTTAAAAACATGGGCCAGGAGCCACTGTACCTGTGTTCCCAGCAGCCCCGTCACTGGCCTGTTGTGTGATTCTGGCCAAGTTGCCCAACCTGTCTCTGTCTTGGTTTTCTCCTCTATAAAATGGAGGTAACAGTTCACATCTCATGGGGCTGTTATGACAGTTAAGTGAGTTCGTATATGCAACGGGCTGAGAACAGTTAGCTTACCTTCTCTCTGGGTTTCGGTTTCTGTGTCTGTAAAATGGGGATGATTGCCAAGATGGTACCTGTCAACCCTTCGCACTGTGCCTGGCCCTTGGCGAGTGCCCAGTAGTCGTTGGCTGTTGGAGTGACCGTGAGGAGTCATGCCTCCAAACATGGCACCAAGGGTGTGGGGCTGGAGTTACTCTCAGGCTTTTAGACCACATGCTTTTGCCTTCTAGAAAGAGCTTCTGATCTGGGGTATGGACATTTTCTGGATGACCCCGGACAAGTCATGTCACCTCTTGTCGCCCAGGTGAGGACTGCTGTGTCTGACTCGCCTTCCTCTCAGGGTTACTGTGAGCTGGACATTGAGTAATGCAGCTGAAAATGCTTCATCTCCCTCACCTTCTGGAAGACCTTTTCCACTGGTTCCCAGAACCTGGTTACCTGGAATCTGAATGGTCATAACACATTATTACCACCAAAGCCCCATCCTGTTCATGTTTCCTAAGAAGATCTATGTGTGCAGAAAGACCAGGGAAGTGCAAGATGTTGCAAATTCCCTGAAAAGGTAAGGCTCAGGGCCTGAGCCTCCTCTGCCCCGGAGTCACCTTCATGAAGCCCAGTGACGCTTGCTGTAGTAGAAAAGAATG